GTGCTATTAAAAGTTTAAAAAGTTGATTAAGAAGATGATCTTTATTTTTATTCTAAGATACTGCGTATTAGAGCTGTGGCTACGGTGAAGTTTTCACTACTGTATATGACTGGAATTGAAGCATTTAAACAGCTCTAACATAGCTCTTCCATCTTGAAATCTGATTCCCATATCGAGACAGAAAACCCAGGAAGAAGATTTATAACTCAATGAAATTTTTATAACTCAATGACATTTTAATAAATATGTAAAAACATGAAAAATTCATTCGTATTTTTCTTAAATTTTTAAATATGTAAGAACTAACATGGGCTGGGCCTCTGGCATATCGATATCATGAATACTTCATTTAAGACAAAACAGATTCGAGATGAGAAATGTTACTGCCGTATTTGATATGCCTTTTGGCGTATTCCAATAGCTTAGTGAATATCCATATTTTAGTCACTGCAAGCGCAAAGTATTGAATCCTTTTACATTTAAAAACAAAACAACAACTGTCAATTGTTTCATTAGATTAAAATCAAATCTTAAGCTAACGAACAATTAATTATAAGAGAAGTTTCTCTATACTTATCGCGGCCTACAAACAAATTCTTTGTAATCTGAAATCTTAAAATCGTCTCTGAACTAGTTGCGCAAATTATTTGTAATGTCCTCTTTCTTCTTGTCTGTATCCCAAATTATGTGGAATCAGAACTCACTTTCTTAGCCAGGCAGTCCACTGAGTTTCTCGCCGGATCTTCTCAGTTGGTCACGTTTCCGATCCGGTGGTAGATTCTGTGAAGCACTGCTCTTACTACGGCCAGTGTCAGCAATACTCCCGGTTTGAACCCCGTGAGCTCACCTACACGTCAAGGAGAAGCTGAAATAGCTTCTCAAGGCTATCAGCATAGGTAGGAAAAAAAAATAGCCAGGCTCTCTTTGACCACATGTTAATCTTCTCTTCATTTTATTTTTATTGTTACTATCGGTATTATATCATAACGAAACGAAATAAAAATTGAATAATTCTTCCGTTATTCTGTTCACGGTAGCATTTAATCTATTGATTAGAGAGATCTGACAATACGGACAATAGTCGAACAACGGACACGAAACGCCTGCCGTGTCTGGTACACTTGACCCACATCCGGGTCGTGCAGACCGGTAGAGCTAACAATTAAATTGTATAACTGAAAAACGTTATCAATGTTTAGGTGCCGTTTGGTTTATTAATTAATGCAAGGAGGAAGAATTAAACTAAAAAAAATGGAGTATTTATTTTTTTATTGCCCTTGTAGGTACGAGGCACGAGCATACTGCCCACCTGATGGTGAGTGGTTACCGTCGCCCATGGACTTCAGCAATGCCAGGGGTAAAGCCAGATCGCTGCCTACGAATGCTGCTGTCTTACGCAATACTATTAAGAAATACTCTAGATTCAATGGCCACGTTTTCCAGCGAAATTAAAATAATAATAAAAGTATAATAAAGGCAAATGAATAAGTTCACGGATACGTCATTCATAATTTTTAATCAAAATCATTATTCTCTGAAAACAAGTTCAGCACTGGTAAACAATATTTTTCCCAAATAAGCACTATGTCATTGAAAACCTATATTAGTATTAGTTGATAAGATTACGTAAATTAATGGCTAAGTGATGTAACAATCGTAAAGATTCGGTAACCACAGATGACCCCAAGTTAATAACTGTGAGCTGGTTCACCCATCTTCGCAATGAAACCATTTTTTGCCCAGATAATGAGTACTTCCGCATTTTCATGAAAGACTAGCGAGTGAGCTCATCACATAGGTAGGTCTAGCTAGTCCTTCTAGCTTTTTCTTTCCAAAGCGAACAGTGCAGCCCATGTGCAATACAATTGTGACTTCGACATTCTGGTGAAACTTATAATGGCCATGCAAAGATTCGTATTTTGTAGGTAAACGACAAAGGGCAATAGCTTTTACCTAAGTATCTAACGGGGTCGTCGTACCCCCTTACGCCGAACGGATGAAATTGCTCTGTAAACCGACGGACTCCAAGCAGTAGAGATAAACAATTCGGTGGCGTGTGATGCAATGGTAAAGAGAGACGACGGAATCGTCTGAAAGAATTTCTCTATTTGAAAAGTAAAGTAACCGCTTTGCAATCCATCAAGACTAAGTCGTACCTTAAGATGACGACTACGCTCTGATGACGGGAACGTCCACTTTATATTGCCACACCAGTGCCATGAAGCCATCTCCTTATCTACCTTAAACACTTAGTTGTTACAACAAAACTAAGTGAATCTTCACATTAAGACTGACGGGTTTCTTAAAATAGCAAGGAGAAACGTATTTATCGTGTAATTTCGCTCACACAATGCAATATTTTATTTAGTACCCATTATTATCGAAACTTATCTGTCGTCGCAGTTATTTTACAAGGTAAAATCTTGTTTTAGTGCCAGGTTTTATATTTACGGTATGATGATAATAAAAATAAAGTGCTTAATCGATAAGCACTTTGCTCAGAAAAATTATATGATTATGTTGAATTTTTATAATAATAATCAGTGGACCGTCAACTGTCTGCCTACTTCTGCACCATTGCAACGGACATACTACTGGAAATATATCTCATATCGGAGGAGGATTAACACCAAGCAAACAGCCGGTCGTAAAACTTATGCCAAATCCGTATGCAGCATGATAAAGACATGCTTGCTGCCCCATATAAAAAGGGCAAGAGAAAGAAGAAGAAGACATCCCGAAAACTTGAATCGCGCTAACGACGTTTTCAAGAATACCATATACATGTTCTGAATACTAAAATTGCCGCGTGCGCAGGCAACCCAGTAGCCGACGACACAGCTGTCCAATAGGGACAAGTGTTTCATCGCCAAGAAATTACCGCACACCGTAGCCGGGACCCTAACTCAGCGATTCAGCACGTAATTCATAAAAGTACACCCTGCGAAAAGCACAGTGGTGCTCTTTCATAAGGAGCGTACGACACGAAACTCCTCCCGTATTCAACCAATAAATACCTCGATCCAGGAAATCAAGTATATCCACCCGCTCCCCGCGGACTGGCTAGGCCGCAACTATCTGTCGCTGCTGACCGCTGTGACTACGATGTTTCACAAATTGGCGTCCTGGAAAGCGATGCTCGGCTTCTGCGAGACCACCAGCAAGCAATTCTTCCCTTTCCGTTCCGTCGCTGCCGATTCGGGGGTCGGAGAAGAGAGTACGATCATACGTACAGGAACTGGGCCTGTAGGCAGCAGCCTCCCTCCATTTAAGGTGACCTGGACGGAGTCGAGGTCGCGTGGCGCACTAACTCCGCTCTAGCGCGCCAGCCAAGAGTAACATCATCGTGATAAGAGCGACCGGTTGGCGGTCGTGCATCAACTGTGCAGTAGAAGCTTCTGCTTTGTAGTTGCCATTCCAAAATCATGAGAGACCTCCTGACCAAAATCTGGTTGTAACGCATTGAGTTTTTCATTGTTTTCGATTGGATCGATTGGTTGGATTCTTTTATAAGTGTGTGAAGGTCACGAGAGACGAACAAAAAATTACAAAGATACACAAAAAAACTTAGTAAAAAATCATCAATTCGAGACAGTGCAATTTTATAGTTATTATTTTTATTTTATTTTTCTTGTAAAATTTTCAACTTTGACCTATTCTAGACACAGGCTTTGCAATTATTGCAATTATCTACAGTAAACGATAATATCCTAATTGTTATCGATTACAGAACTTTTTTTAAAATCTTTTAATTGACAGAATACAAAAAAGGATATAATATTTTTTTAAATGCCGCTGGTATCGGTGCCTTCGATCAAATTCACTAGTGGGCGCGAATACGTTTCTCACACAAAAAATAGGGCTTTTTTGAGTGAGAAATTTGTTTGCGAAACGCGCCGTATCAAGGAAGACCACTTTCGGTAACGAAAGGTGATTGAACCATTTCGTTATCCCACCGTGCATCGAAATAAGTATTGGAATAATAATGGTAAATTCTATTCATGACACATGGCGGTAGATCGTGAATCAAGTATTTGTTTGATTAATATAATTTTTTCAACCTCGACGAGGTACTCGTTATGAGGTATGTTGATATATGATCAAAATTACACTCAAACGAGTAAACGAAGCGGAAAGGCACAGTACACAAATAAACAATCATGGCTTACTTTGATATGAAATTTTATTATTATTCAGGAGATAACTTCCCGACACACGAATTGGAACAATGCAAGGCTACCGATGCACAGATATTAAGGTGATTAATATATCCTTTTGTAGTAATTAACAGGGTTAATCTGTTTCGTTTCCGTACATTTAATCTTTGAAAAAATCTGATAAACATATTTAAGTATTGAAGCCATTGTTTACGGTGATTGCTGTTTTTATGATGGTAATATGGCTGATTTTATGCAATAAATGCAAATACGATGTCGATTTAAATTGGTTTGTAGGTCAACAGCATGAAGTGGCCGCATTTGGAAAAACAGTATCTCGAAAAATAGTTTTGCTGAAAAGTAGTCAATTTTACAGTAAGCCGTAAGCAACTGACTGACTAACGTGTAACTATAATGAGACCTTAGAACGTACATCTCAAGGTGGGTGGCGCATTTACGTTGTAAATGTCTATGGGATCCAGTAACCACTTAACAACAGGCGGGCTGTGAGCTCGTCCACCCATCTAAGCAATAAATAAAAAATTAGAAAAAATGATTGAGTGAATGATATGTAACGTGTTTTATTGTTTTTAATCTTTAATCTAAACCTACTCGTGTTAGCACATAATATTTATCTATCTTTCTCAATTTCTGAACTATATGTTATGCACTTCATCTCCCTTGCACACAAAATCAATCAAAACTCGATCAATCAATCAAAGGGAAATTCCCTTCTAGAAGGGAGAACCAGATAAAAATGACACAGTAACACTGTTTCTTTCACTCTTTTCTCTAACCACTATCCGTACAGTCATTTTTATCTGAATTCTCCTTTCTCCACAGAATTCCAAGAGCTGGCGCGTCAGAATAAGATAACGAAGCAAATTCTAGAAGCTTTTCTCCAGAAGAAACTCGGCGTGAAGAGTAATGCAGTGAGACCTCCTTCGGTTCTGGATATATTACCTGTCAAAATGCACACGAAAGAGAGTACACTAGAGCAGTCTAATAAAGAAGAGGATTTCCAAGAAGACTTACAAGAAACTCAAGACTACGTGGAGGATGACAACCTACAAAGTGTAGAATCGGAGCAGATCGACTCGTTCTTGGATTCAATTGAAGGCATGTATTCGATTTATTAAGAAGCAAAACTTTAAACAGTGGCATTTAAAAAAAAAGTCCGTGATGGCTTTGGTGAGCTGTTTGAATTACTTTAAGACATAAATTACAATAATTACAATACAAATACATTTAATACATTACCTCGTTCGTTTGGTGTTTGATGATCGCCCCGAGTCAGTTTCTGTGTTAAAGATAATTCTGAGCTTACCTTGTTTTGGTCATATGTACATTTATTATTTATCCTACCCGTGCGGACGCATGCAGTAATTACGCAAATTATAACTTTTGCGGGTTTCATTTTTATTACAAGACGTTATTCCTTGGCCATGGAAGTAAATCGTGAACATTTGTTAAGTATATAAAAATAAAAGTGTAATTTAGTGTACCATTAGAAAAATTGGTACCCGCCTGCGGGATTCGAACGCCGGTACTCGCAAAATACGAATGCATCGGACGTCATGTCCTTTAGGCCGCGACGACTTAATATTACGTGCATATTTTTAGGGCCGATCACACAGAAGAAAATCTTCCTTTGGAGCTTGGGGCCGTTGAGTTTACCATTAGTACTTTAGTATCTCCTAGAATTACCATAAATACAATAATAGCACTATATCTACAATGCATGTACTGTCCTTAATTGAAGAGTAACTGGTCGTCCCTCCGTAGTAGTATGTTACGACTTAAGTGTCGTCATTTGGATATTGGTCGGTACGTGTAGGGTGCGGTCTGGTTTATTTCTAAATCTATGAACTCGAATTCGAAGAATTCGTATATTAATCGTTATCCAATACAATCATCATTCAATCGAATCATCTTAGTGACTGAAACACGTTTAGCTCTTAATGGCAGATATCTACTGCTTTGGTGGATTATAAATAGGTTTTCCTGTACGGATTTAATAATTTCTGTACATTTTGATCATCATAGCCGGTTACTCTTGACAAAGCAGTCGTGGTCATGTAGAATCCCTGTTTATTAAAGCCTCAACAGCTGATATCCATAGTTGGCGAACTAAGTCTTGGCGCGCACACTCGTTAAGTGAGTGGGGTTTTGGTAAGGATTTTTATCCAATCAGTCCAGCGCATGGGGTTTCGTCCACGAGATTTTTTATCATTGACCCTACCCAGAACAACGAATTACTCGATAGACTCTGCTGGTCGTCGCATTATCTATCCAAAATATAATATTTTTGATACGCATCATAATTTTATTCTTAATATCTAATTATTTTTAAGATTCCACATTCCTAGATTTTAATTTAATATGTGTTAAGCTTGGTCCTTCAAGTTCATAAAACTTGCAGATGCGAAGGCATTTATGTCATGCACCTTAGCGGCCCTGACCTTAACAAACTGGTTTTCCTTGGAAATGCTAGTGTTGCTACTCAAGAAGCAATGTTCGCAAAGGACACATTTTTGACGTACGTAGGTCAGACAAATCAAATATAAAATGAAATTGTCTTAGTATTTTTATTTGTGTGTGTGGACTTCGTGATTAAACGCTAAAATTGACTTAGCTATACGATTATTCTTAATTATGAGATGGGCTAATAAACGGGGTATCGCCGTAGTAATCACTTTTAGGCACATTAAAAATATTACGAAACCCCGAAAATCTGGAACCGATAATTTTAAAATCAATGGAACCAATCCTTTCAACTTAACAGCTAACTGCCTTGAACAATGAATTTCAATATTAGTTATTGTTTTCGACTATGATTAAGTTAAATATAACTGATTATATCTGTAAATCAGCTGTTTTAAGCCCCGTATGGTATTATTGACCCTGATCTTTAATTCCATGCGTTGCCCTTGAGAAGTTCAATGTTCAGTCAAAGAACTCAGCATAATGGCGAGACTATAGAACTCGTACTACAAATTACTGACGATTAAAATACTTCTGTTAACACATTCGCTGCGATGTCAAAGATATTTAATTTTATTGCTTACAATAACAAATTCCTTTCATACTTAAAAAAATATGTCAGAAAGGTTAATGAATTTGTAAAATAATATCAGAAATCAAATATTATAATACATTAAATAGACAAAATAACTTTAGCCTTTTTAGCGTTAGTATTTTGATAAATTAAAACATTTTCAAGGTATATCTTGTTTTTATTGAGGCAGATCGATGTGACAGCAATTACATATATATATATATATATATATATATATATATATATATATATATATGTATGAAATCCTCTTTACCGTTCTTAATCATTTTCACGATAAACTTCTATCTTCAATTACTGTATATTAAGGGATATTTGTACAAAATTCCTAATTTGTTACCTTGTTCATTTTTAACAGGATTAAATCATTTTCCATATTATATATATCTGATTCGTATTTTATCCCTGAAAGTATTTGCGTAACTCTTTTTTTTTTTTATTATACCAGGCGGGCATCTCTGTACGCTACTTCAAAACGATATCTTAGCTCTACATTGTAATTGGATTATTTAAACTTTGGTTTATCCTAGTCGAAATATCTCAAGTTATACCAAACACCAACTCATGGCGAGCTTATTTAGTCAAAGACGAAACCAATGACTAGATTTAAAAAAAAAGTAATACTTAATATTTCGTTTATACCCAGTATGTAATCATTCTAAAAATAGAACCACAGTTAGATGTGCATTTTCTAGTAAACTAGTTGACATATCATGATGTAATCTCATCTCAGCCTGTTCACTACTGAACATAAGCCTCTCCAATTGATGTCCGGCCTTTTTTTTGTTTCTCCTACCTATGCTGTAAGTTGAGAGGCTATATCAGCGTAACCCTAGCGTATGGGTGAGCTTACGGGGCTCAAACCGGGAGTGTTGCTAACACTGGTCCTAGGAAGAGCAGTGCTTCGTAGAATCTACTACCGGATCGGAAACGCGACTCACTGAGAAGATCCGGTGAGAAACTCAGTGGGCTGTGTCTATGGGTTAATTTACTCATCGAGCCTAAAAGCATCGTTAATGGATCGGGAAAGTGCGGTCAGTTTGTAGCCACCTGCATCCAACGTGACCCAGCGATGTTCACTAGGTCAGTTGTCATGGCTTGTCACGGTGTAAGACAGAAATTAAATTTTCGATTTCTAAAAATGTACACACTTTTAAATTAGTCGATGATCACGTATTGCCTCTCAACCAACCCAAGATACAGTGAATAAATGATATTGTCTGTAGAAATGAAACTTCGCTGGGCGTCTTCTTATCATATCTCAAAATATAAATACGAATTTTTCCCTTAACGCAAAGTTAAAAATGACGCAGCACGGTTGACGGGGCTATGTTGAGGTTTTATTAATCTATTCTATCAGTCCACAGACGTCGACTGTTGGACATAGGCCTGCCCTAAGCCTCGCCACAAAGATCGGTCCTGCACTGTCTGCATCCAGCGGATCCCCGCGAACCTCACTAGGTCTTCGGTCCATCTTGTGGGAGGCCTACCCAATCTACGTCTTCCGGAATTATATTTGAGAGATAAATAAATCAGCCAGATGCATTTCTAACGATGACTACTCGTGGATACACTTACAATTCTTATTTTTTCTGTTCAATGGAGGCCCTAATGATACTGAACAATCCATCTTATTTCTAGGACTGTAATGTTCAAATAAAAAAGTTATATCTTTTTCGTGGTACTTAAAGTACACGCTGTCAGTTTAACGTGAGATAGTTAAGAGGGAAATAGCAAACGGGAACATCATCAGAACTCGCTGACCCATTTCCACTATGTCCCCACCGACCTGTTTACACTTGAGCACAGAAAACCAGCGGGATTCGTACTTAAGCCTAACGCACGAGCGTTTTTACATCGTACCGGAAAAAAATATTGGAGTTGCAAGCTGTGAAATAAATCTTCAACAATTTTTTGACGATCCACGTGTTTTGTTGTCTATTATTAATTTAATATTATTTTTAATTCCTTTAAAATAATACTAATATCTAATCTCATTTCATATATCTAATTATCACTAACTAGCTAACCCGGCAGACTTCGTAGTGCCTCAATCGATAAATAAAAGACCTAAACCTTTGTATAAAATAAACTTAAAACAAACAAAAGGAATCCGTCCAACGGCGGACACATCAAAGGGAAAACAAAATTGTTATTTTTATTTAATTCCTAGAATTTTCATATTTATGTACCTTTGAAAACTTCTCTGGACTTCCACAAATAATTCAAGACCAAAATTAGCCAAATCGGTCCAGCCGTTCTCGAGTTTTAGCGAGACTAACGAACAGCAATTCATTTTTATATATATAGATTTGTACTTAATGCTAAGTAACCGCTATAACCATGTAAGGGTGAGTGACTAAAGTTATTAGGTTATCGAATGTGATATGTTTGCGTGTACACGAAATACGAACCGGGCTTAGTCAAATAAAGGAAAAACTTCCATTTCATGAGTCAAATGTTAAGAAAACTCTCAATAGTTATTCGCGATTTGTTGAACCAGTGCGTGCGACTACTTATTATGAAAATCTACTTTCATTTGCCACCGCTAATGGTGTAGCCTGCGTTTAACTGCGGTCTTTTAGTAAACGAAGTTCCAGACGCTCTGTTATTTGTCTGTTTTTCTATGTCAAAAAGTATTTCACTTTATGTCTATGGATAAAACTGGATACGTCAACCTTTTTTTTCGTTTTGGGCAACGGAATATGAACTAAACAGATAATACCACTTAGAATTAAGAGTCATGTATAAATAATTTTATTGGCTTTATTGGTGGTAGGACCTCATGTGAGTCCGCAAGGGCCTGCCTACAGAAATAGTCGGGGTGGTGGTATAGGTACCGTATTTCTGCCGTGAAGTAGTGTAGTAAGTAGCAACCGTTGTAACTATACTGGGACCTTAGAACTTATATCTCAAGGTGGGTGACGCATTTGCGTTGTAAATGTCTATGTGCTCCAGTAACCACTTAACACCAGGTGGGCTGTGAGCTCGTCCACTCATCTAAGCAATAAAAAAAATACAATAAAATAACCTTAAAAAACAAAGAGACGTTTGGATGCCTAAAATGATTTAATAAATACATAATGTCCTTCAATAGAGACCTTAAACTAAGCATCAAAGTCGAAACTAGAACAACAATGAAGGCAAGGTCAACACGAATAGCGATGACCACGGATTAGCGCCCACATTTGGTTAGTTTTTAAATTGCTATATATGTTCATACCATTAATGTTTCTAAGATATATCTGTAGGTACTATTTATTCGATTAATTTAAAAATAATAATTAAAACTATTTTTACAGTATAAGGTCGTTTTTATATTCCATATTGTCATTC